AATATAATAAATTTATTTTTAAACCTTAATATTATAGTATATATAATCCTAAAAGTATAGTTTAAAATAACAGTTATAAGCTTTTTAATTTATTTTATAAAATACGATATATCAAAGTGACAATACAGCCTATAGAATATAATAGAATTAGGCCTATCCTTTTCAGTAATAGTTATGAAAATATTTAGATTTTTATCAAGTTTAACTGCCTTTTTTCTAAGACACTCTTCATACTAGGCTTTGAATAAGAGAATGAAAAGGCTAAGAGGCATTTTGCATAATATCTTATTACTTAGTTTAATAGATTTGAGAAGTTTCTCAATTTCAGTTTCATTAATTATTGGCTTAGATGATTCAGAAATCTTAGAAGTTTCAGATGTCTTAAATGTTAAGGCAACTGGTTCTGCCACAAAATTGAAGAGAGCTTGAGTCAATTCATCCTGTTTATCTGATTTCTTTTCTGGCTATAGGATTATTTTTTGGAAAATAGTTTTTGATACATTAAATATGAATATGTCTGTAGTCTCATTTGTAGATAAGTCATCTTGGGGTATTTTAAAAAATTCTTTAATATTATTCAAACTAGATTCATGAAGCTTGACTATGATTTTAGAATAATCAAAAATATATACCTATTCCTTATCCTGCCATCTGCTTATACTTGTTTGCTTTTAATAATATTTTTTCTAATAGCTTCTTACTGAAAATATTGTTAGAAGATGGCTTTCATCATTATCTTCACACCATTCAAGTTATTTTTAGTATAATAATATACAATTTACCTTGATTACATTATCTCTATCCTAAGATCCAATATGGTCAATAATAAATCAGGTAAGACTAGGAAGCTGATCATGCATTGTATTTATTTTTTTTTTGGTAGAAAAGATATTTTGTGAATTAAAATCTAAAAGATTGCAAGTAATAAGATATTTTAAGACTATCTCAGATGCATCTGGATGATCAAGAATTTCTTTTTGTCAATAAAAATACTTTGTATTCCCTTATGTTATATGAAGACATTAAAACAGACTATTCAAGAATCTCATATATCTATTTTGAGTAAAGCATCCTGATTACTTGTAACCATATATCTAATATAATTATTTATTCTCATAGTTTTAAGACCTTTATACTCTATAGCTACTATTTGTTTTGTTATAAAAAATTTAAGATGTCTATTAAATCTGTGTCATTTTTCACTAAACATTACTGTCTTATTCATAACAATAAGTTTTTGAGCTTGAATAGTGCTATTAAAACACTAAAAAATTTTATCTAAATCTGATGTTGCAAAGTAAAGATGTAGTTTCAAGACTTTGTTACCAATAAAATCAGTTATAATATATATTTTTTCTGCATTGTTGCAATATAGATTTTAATACCAGAATTGTTTAGAGCTTCTTTTTTGATTTTTGCACTAAATATGCTTATCAGTTCCAAATATACTTATTAAGCTTTTCATTTCTATCACAAATCATATTTAATATATATTAAAGAATTGAATCCATAATTTCTTTATTAGTTTCTAATACTGGTTTAGCCAAAAATCTTAGAAAAAGGTTAAAGAAATTCAAATGTGGCTGAGAAGCATTTATAGAATATGAAAGGAAATTATAATCTTTATAAACTATTAGATCTTTAATAACTGCCTGGTCTATTAATGATTTTAGCTTTACTGTTTTACCTCTGTATTTAGTTATTTTGATCTTAAACTTTGCAGGCTTTAGCTCAGATCTCATGTTACAATAAAGTTTATTTTTTAAATCTTTATATTTTAATAATTAGATCAATGTTTTTTTTAAATATAAGTGACTATTGATTAAATTGTCTTATAAATTTTAGTGTGTAAGAATTTCTTACCTGAAGTATATATAATAAATTCTATTATATGAAATAGTTATTTAGATTTGCAATTCTAGAATGATCTAATTTTACTGAAGCTAGAAGGTTTTTTTCTTGGCTTAAGACTATTTCACTAAGAGTAAGCTTTATTAAAGGCTTTTTTATCTCTAGTGGCTTTTTCTGATCTGTATAGTAGCAGTAAAAACTATAGAATTTTTTAATTCAAATAATATATCTATTATTATTTATATGTTTTCAATTATATAATAAACAATATGATGGGCTTATATGTTTGAGAAAAAGGATATTTGGAGTTGTTTCTAATAGATATAAGAGGCTAAATTCTTCAATGCTAGCCTTTTCGAGCAATTTTTTTACTAGTTTGAGTTCGAGCTTGAGTTTAACTTTGGTAATAGTATTACTTGTATTAGAGATTTCTACTAATTTTGTTTCTGGAATAGTTAAGAAAGGACTGTTAATGACTTTTGATTCATCATTCAGCAGGCAGATCATAAAGTCAAAGATAGTTCTATTTTTTGGATGAATGCACTTTTTATATGATCATGTTTTTTTGTATCTTTATTATACTTAGGTGATCCAAGCATTCTCAGAGAAAAGAATTGCTTATTTGTAATATTTTTGATTATATTTTTTTTCTGCAATCTTATTGGAAATATCTTATAAACATTTTTTAGCCTTATACTAAAAGTTGAGACATAGATAGATATTTTTTTATATCACTACTTTTAGCAATAGTTATAGTTGTTTTATCCTATTCTGGGAATATTTCTAGACAAGTATTTTTAAAGGCATAACAAAGTAAATTTTTAGCCTCTTTGTTTGGAAGTTTGGAAGTGATAGCATTTAATATTTCTATTGGCAAATTGAAATCTATGATGGAACAGAGTGGCTCATCATCATTAATGTATTTATGTAAAAAATGGCCTTCATGATCTGAAAGTATGGCTTCTATTTCAGCCTTATTGTCTGCATTAAGGAAATTTCTTAGTCTAATACTATTATTACATATTTTATATAAACATTGACCTATATCATAGGCTTTGAATCTACAATAGTAAGGGGTAAAGGTGCATTAGGGAACTCTGAAAAGTCTGATTGTTTGGTTATTTTTTTTCAAAAAATTTATAATTATATCAAAACTAAAGATATATTATTTACAAGAAAAAAGTTTAAAATAAAATTAATTATTCAAGATTATTAATCAATATATACAAATAGGAAGAAAAGCCTACTGAGCATTTTATTATTGTTTGTATATTCTTAGAACTAGAAAAGTGTATAATCAAAAATGCTATTATCCAAAAAGATGCAAAGTCTATCAGGATTCTAGGCAAGTTCTTTGCAAAAAAAGTGAATGCAGTAAGTTTACTAATTTCAAATATAATTTTTGTAATAATTATGCAAAAAAATATAGATTAAAAGAATACTACCAACAGACAAAGCTAGCTAAGTTGGCATCGATGCAGATACTGGTAGATAATTTAGAGATAAACAAAAATAATACTTGTTACTAGTATTACTAAAAAAAAAAGCTGGTATGGTGCAGGACATCTAATCACATCACAAAATATTTGCTTTAAATAAAAGTTTAATAACTTTTTAACTAATAATGATTTTTAAAAAAATCTTTCTATAG